CCCCCCCCCCGCTCCCCCCTCCTTTCCCTTCCCGTCCCCTTCCCCCTGGTTCCATTTACGCATGAATGACAAACAGGGGACTCAGGCGGGTACCGAGATTCTGGACGAGGAGACCGCGGGGCTTTGGATGGCCGGTAAAGAGTTTCGCCGGGATCAGTTGGTGGGAGACCGTGTCGGAAAGAACGAGAAGACTCGGATCATCTGCAAGCTGCAGAAGCCCGGCTCGGGACCGCCTGGCCGAGAGCCCGGGGTCAGCGAGGACGAGCGCAAAGCGATGATGGCGTTTTACTTCAAGAGGCAGGAGGAACTCAAGAGACTGGCCGAGGTTTGTGAACGCGAGCGTGATATGAACGTATGTTTTTGTGTGTGTTTTGGGCGTAAGCGCGACGCTAAGCATTGATGTTGGTAGTTTGAAGGCAGCAACGGTGTTCGTGTCTCGGTAAAGGGGCGGAGGGAATCTAATTCGAAGATTGGGAGAAAAGCCTCATGTGCTGTTGCTGGTCAAACGAAGCCAATCCTTGATGTGTTTTCGTTGTTGAAGTTGTTGTGTGGCATACAATGCTGCTCTTTGTTCAATTGGTTGTATGAAGGTTTGGAACAACGTGTCCTTTTGTGAGGACGCTGGGCGGGATCAAGAAGCTCACGGGGTGGATGTTTTGCTGAGCCACTGTTGCGCCCAATCCGTGTTGGTGTTGCTTTGCGCTTGGACATTAATGACGCATGGACTCCCAAACCCAGCCGGGGCAACGTGGACGAAACGCCTCACATTTATTTTCCTGCCGAGTTTCTGTCCCCTTCCCATAATACACGCATCTCATCGCATCGCACTGCACGCACCTTTGGCGCTTGGTGACATTGTCGAGAAACTCAGTGTGCACCCTCCTTGCCCTTGTACTACTCCTAGTCTCAGTTGTTACCTCGCATAGCGCGCAGAGGGAGTGGAGGACTCCAGAATATCTGTCGTTGATTTCTATTGCCTTGCGGACCCCTCGGGGCCAGTATATTTGGGTGTACCTTTTTAGGGTAAGTTAACCTGTGACCACGGGAATCGACCGCGTCGAGTGTTGGATCAGTACGGACATACGAAGGTACTGGCTAGAGAGAGATCGGAACGGTTTTTAATGTGAATACAAACAACAACAAATGCCATCCTCTTGTTTAATTTTGATTTGCTTGTGCTGTGAGCGATCCTCACGTTCGAGACGTTCCCAGCCAACTGGATGTGCTATCAACTACTTGCATCGGAGAAACATCTGTTTACCTGCTATTCCACGGATAGGTCGGGCAGTTCGTGCATGCATTTTCCAAGACCAGTCTCAAAATCGTGCGATTTTGCCTCTGGTGCGCTGGTGTTTTCGACCAGGCCAATGACGACGACTACCTTGCCTCTGCATGGGCGGACCCGAAACAGCTGCAGCGGTCTCTGCGAGGCACCGGCACCGTGCGGGCCCCCGGCGTATAATGATAACCGCAAAGCGTATGGTGCAAGTTGAGGGTTTCTCAAGCCACCCTTGTCTTGTTGTAGTTCAGGTTTGCTCCAAGATCGTATCCGAGCGGGCTCATGTGGATCTCCGAACATGGCGAATGGCGACGAGAATCGTCAACCAGAGGAGGATTGCTTCATTCTCCAAACAGAACAGCTTGCTATCAGAGCATGTGCGACCGGACTTGTCGTGCGTGTGTGTACATGAAACCAAGTTGGTGAATCAATTTGTTGAATGATCTTTGTCTCCGTGTTTGTGGGTTGCTCCGTTCCACTCTTTGTGCTGTTTGCACGATCTGCCAGGATCAACTTTCTTTCTTGTAAGGTGCGCGTGTCTTGGCGCGTTTGGCTATTTACTCCAGGTCTCTCTCGGATTTCGGCCACCACACCTGGTAGAGTGACACTAGAACATCTCGTACCAACGTATGTTGGCCTCGGTGTTTCGCTCCAACTGACTGTTTGCAAGAATTGATTCAACTTGGCTAGCGAGAGGCGGCATTATCAGGTTCTATGATACAGGATGTCTCAAATATTAGGCGTCGGCGGTAGAGAGGCTAGACCGTCGCACTCACGCCGATCTCTTATTGATTGAGCTGAGAAGGGATTTTCTCTACCAAGTGGACGGGGAGGCTAAGCTCCTTCGCCCCCCTACGGCGTTCTGAAAGATGTATGTAGCCATCTACGTCTGTTGGTGTTTTAGGCGCGAAATCCACTAGTAGCACTTGATTGCAACAAACGCTCTTCATCCGTCGTTGTTACGCTTGCTAGTCTAGTCTAGAGGTCTCAGGCTTGCTGACCTTCCAGTTGGCAATCCTTCATGACGTGCTGCAACATCGGCTTGAGTTTGTGCTCTTTGAGAAACTTCGGTCCATCAATCGAACAAAAATAATACCGGAATGGTCGGCCGCGTGATTAACTGGGAGATGTGCGCACCATACCTCCGTATCTGTGGGAGTGCTAAAGTGATAGTCTACTTGTCAAGGACCCGCTGTCAGGCATCTTGATTGATTTCTCTGTGGAGCCAGGGTATTTACCCAACAAAATGTATACCATTCGAAAGCTACGGACCAGGGCTTTCGAATAAACCTATTTTTATCTTTCACAGACATGTTGGTGACGAGTTATGTCCTATATACCGTTCACCGTTTCGCCGAAAACGCGGAGGAACTTGGAAATCTCGATTTGCGGGGCCCCAACCACCTCTGTGAAAAAAAAAATATATTTTTTTGGAATCCTCACAAAAAGTTGGTTCTAGATCACCTGGTTCTGAACCCGGTTTTGCCTGGCTCCAGTTCTCCCTTCTTCCCCTCGCTCCTCGACAAGCTTTTGCTTAGACATGGGTTGTAGTGAAGGGGGGGGTCTTTCTGGCGAGCAGGGCTAGACTCACCCTCAAGGGATGACCGAAACCTTCTTGCTGCTGCGCATANAAAAAAATATATTTTTTTGGAATCCTCACAAAAAGTTGGTTCTAGATCACCTGGTTCTGAACCCGGTTTTGCCTGGC